GGAAAGTCAGACTCAGTCCGCTGCTTTCCTTTACAACAAATAATTTTGGTAATTTAGTGGCAAATGTAGTGTAGATTTTCTATTAAATTCTACAGAGTTTGGTTCACAATACTGAAAATGAAGAAGAGACATTTATAGGTAAAGATAAGTGTTTTACAGTAAGAAGAATACATTCTCCATTATATAATATATTTCAGCTCTAGTTAGACTGTCATTTTTTTCCAATCTGTGCACATTTTATATATATGCATACAGGTATAAAAATAATTTCTGAAATATAAAATACTATGTTTCATTTAGTAAGGTATAAAATGATACTCAAATTTTTGAGGTTATTTTTACCACCAGGAATGCCTTTATTTTTAACAGCTCATTTTGACTAGGAATAGGTTGCTGAAAGTTACCATCTGCTTCCAGTTTGCACATAAAATTCCAATTAGCTGAACTTCATATATGTTTTGCAAGGTAATTATGCTTACTTTTTTTCCAGAATGGGAATATATTTGTCAGATAGTATCTGGATGTCCTCATAAGCACAGCAATCTTAGCTTGACTTTGTCTGCCCCCTAACATGCTCAAATAGAAGGTTATCAATTAGGTTGATGAGAGATTATGGCCTTTGATTACCACTGCTCTAAAGTACTCTGTTTCCCCTTGATTACATACAGTCCAGCTTAACAAGAACCCTGTTTTTCAGTTCCATGGAGAGAAAGGAACTTTAGCATTTCTCTGTATTAACAGTACTTTAAAATGCAGTATCTATGTGACATTTTTTGTGTAAACAATTTGGTTCCTCATATTATTAACCTGAACATGCATCTATCAAAGATTTTTGATAGATCAATAAAATAAATTATAAAAAGAAATCTTCTAAAAATAAAATCAATTATAATCCAATCCTAAAGAGTATTATCAGCACAAGTTATTTATCTCGAAGTCACACACTATCAGTGTGGATACTCACAGGTTTTCTTGCCAGACAGCTATGGATTAGGAATGGTAAAGGGCTCAACTGAAGCACTTTCATTATTATACAGAGGCTTCAGAAACCAAGTAGAAAGGATTCCAGATGGCCTATCTATTCTCCCACTGAAACCAGTGACAGCAGCAAGTATAGTAACTGTTGAAATACTGTTTAAAAATGGTTAACACCCACACTTAAAATTCATCTGAGCCATAGTTTGGGAAAAGTGAAACCAATGGATACTGTGCCATTACAGGTTAGGTTTAGGTCCTTTATTTACTCTGTCTGACTTAGCTTTTTCTCAGTCTAGATAAAGCCAAATATGATTCCCCTTCCTATGCTCAGCATTTCAAATTAGATAAACCCTATTCAGTTTTCATCTCTTCTGCCCAAAAAGTATGTGCACAGATACCCAGCCTTGATGTAACAGAATAAATGTTGAGGTGGCTGAACAGACCTTACTTTCACAAGACCTAACATTTGGACAACAACATTATCATCACATCTTTGAAGTAAATCTAGTTACTCAGTTCTAAGTCATTTTCTGTACTCATTAATTCCTACCACAGAACACAAAGCTGGGACAGTTTAGAGCATTATTACATTTCCTTTACAAAAAGTATCATCTCCTGATGAAAAATTATACAAAAGATTGATTTTGTAACAGTGAAATAAAAATCACTTTAAAATCAAGAACTACTACTACTGAGCATTGCTGCTGTTTGAGTGATGCCAACACAGCCTTCAACTGGTATCCTGTTTGGAGGAGAAAAATGGATTCTTTTCAAAGATCGCATTCTACATTTTCCATCTTGTTATTTGAATGCTATTGCACTGCTGCAACTGGTTAGCACTGCACATCTGGCTGAATTGTCTGAACTGGTATTTTCCTAACTATTGTGTATGTGTATGATGGTTTTTTAAAAAAATATTGTATGCACGCTGAAACAATGCCCTGTTTCAGACTGCTACACTCAATTAGTGAGAGCACGTTTTTTTCTGATTTTGTTTTCAATGTCAAAAAACTGCTATTTTTAAAGTTAGCCACCATGAAATTCTAGCCATGCTTTTACAATGTTTTTTAATTTGTGGGGTTTTGGCTCTTAATCTCCCAGGCCTGAACCTTACACTGGAAGTGTTATCTCATAAAAGCTCTGGATTTCAACGACTTCTACTCTACATCAACTATTTTAAACTTACATTTATCAGGAAAAAGAGCATATAACTAAAATATTCTCATAAAAATAGTTTCACAGAAACAAAACAGATAAATGTTCCATTCAGTAAAAGGTCATTTTTTCATAACTTTGGCTACAGAAGCCCTACGATTAAGCCAAATTTGATTCCAAAGCCAAAATTTTCCTGTCTTCCTGCTATAAACCATCATACTAAAAATTTGCAAAGTCCATCAGACTAGTATGGGGCAAAAAGTCAATCTTTTCTCATAAAATTACCATAATAACCAAATATTTTACTTATAAATACTACAATTTACGTGTTTCACAACTATAAAGCATTTGGGAAAAAAAGATGGATGGGAGGGGTAAAGTGATATTTCTTATTTAAAATAAACACATAAATATCCAGAGCCTTAAAAATGCACAGTCCTGGTTAGCTTTCTAGTAGAAAGGATCTGGAAAGCCCCTACTCGTGCTCAGCTAAGAATTTCTCTGCCACGGGGGAGCTCCCTGCTGACACAGAGCCAGCAGGACTGGATCCTGCACAGATCCCATTTGACACCAGCACAGGATGCATTAGGAGCTGGCAAGAAGTGGCCAGAGCACGTTTTATACTGCTGAGGACTCCCATGCCTAAATTGCTCTAATTTATACTCAGACTAGCCCTGCCTTTTACAAGGCAGTTCTGCAAGGCTAAGCATAAATCAGTGCAACAGAGGCTCTGGATTTAGCTACATATAAGAAGTCTATAATGGTAAATCATAAATTAACAAAAAACACTGAATGAGTTTTTACTGTCCTGTAAGATTTGGGGAAACTTAAAGCCTGGACAAAAGCAATCAGGCTTCAGAGCTGTCACCCTCTCTCCTAACCATGACAACCAGGTGCCTTGGTTTATGCAAGCATACAAAACCTTGGATATGTTCTTAACTGCTCCTATGGTGGCTATTGAGAAGCCTCATCTGTACATTAATTGCTCATTTTTCATCATAAGTGCAAAATATCTGGCTGCAAACAGCAGGGTTTCCTGACAAAAATGTGCAATTGTGTCTCTTGTGTTTGTCCAACTGTATTTCAGACACAAGCTTAACTTTCAGCACATTTTTCTACTATCAAGAAGAGGATTGAACAGGACACATGAGGAGAAGAAAAGACACTCAGTGGAGTCTCTGTCTTCCTTCTGTTCTTCCATAATTTTCTATGAAAATGACAGGAGTTTTGCGCCTTTCTTTACAACAAGTCTGGCAGAATGCCGGCTGGTACTCCCAAGCCACGTGTAAATTCAGCTCAAGACACACACTGTATCATTTATTCTCTGAAGAACACTGTGCAGAATTGGAATAATGAAAACCTGGCTCCTGGTTTTCCAGATACAGGTTTTTACTGCCTAGTAAAATGTGGGCTTTCTGACCTCTGTCCGTTTTATGCTTGTGAAGATACCCAATTTCTGAACACATGCCCTCCAGTGATTTTGATCAGCTGTTCCCAAACTTTGCTCTTGAGGTGACCACCATCAGAGACAGTCCTGACCTGAGGTAGGACCATCTCTGCAAAACCAGAAGCTTCTTGTCAGGCCAGGTACACATTCAGTCACCTCCAACCCTTTAGTTGCAGTCTCACTCATCCAAGAAGGATCCCCAATTCCATGTTTCCATCTACCGCTGCTCTACATGTCTCACCTCCCAAACCAGAGCCTCTCTTATGGTGTCCAATCCCTTACTGACCTTTGATCAGACACCAACACCAGTCAGGGTGACATTAGCCACATCCTCCTACATAAAAAGCTTCCCTGCCTCTGCAACCCTGCTCCCTTCTGCCTGAGCCCTGCCTGACGCCCCTGAAGCCAGCTGGGCAATGGAGCTGGGCAATGTGGGATTGTGGCCTCACTGCTGAGAGCATTCCTGCAACTGCAGCCTCATAGAGAAGAAAATCTCAACAGATCAGCAAAGACCTTCTGTGTGGATCTGTTCACCTCATGGCTCAGAGAAGTGCTTGTTACAAGCAGAGTTAACAGCTGCCATCATCATGTGCCACTTTCAGTTGGCTTTGTACCACAATTTGGGAATGTCTGTCTTAGACAATAGGCACAAATATGTGTAACAGTCACATTTAGATCTGTTCTTTTCTCTTCCTGACAATGTTCTAATTTAAGATCCTAGTTTCACTTAACCAGACATTTTTAATGGAGAGGATTTCATTCCCATATGGCACCTTCAAGGACCATGACTCCTCCAGAAATCTGTATTACACAAGCCAAACAGTGCTAACAGTTGTACTGCTAACAGGTCACATACTTGGGGTTTGTTTTTAGACTAATGTTTGTTTAAAAGTGAGGAATACATTTTGGATTGTAAATATGTGCTCCAAAAAAACTGTGAAGAGAATAAGGAGAGTCAGATGGAAGAATTTTACCTCTACTTTGTGCTGATTACATAATTTATCAAGAAATTGTTCCACAGGCCTCCAACAGATGCTCTGTTGTTAAAGCCATGAAAAGTCATTCAGGGAGAGAGTAAAGGCCTCGGGGGTGTGGTCCACATGCTTCAGCACATATATCCTCAGCCCTGGCCTGCAGATAGCACATCTGGTCCAGGCATGGACCTGATGGTTGGCCAAAATACAGGCTTACAATAATGCTCCTTTCTTCAGCTTTAATGTAAGCCTGTTTTCTTGCCAAATTCAAACCCTGCCAAAATTTGGCCGAAGATGTTTGCTCGATTGTGCAATATCTTAAGTTTATATCCAACAACTCTTTGCAAAAACAATTGTATCGTGTTTTTAATGTTTACAGGCATTAACAATATTTAATTTTAAGTAGAATTTTACTGCTGACACTCTCGTGTTTTACAGTAAATTACCTTAGAGAGGGTTTTTCCATTAGCTCTGAGTGTCACGAGTCCTGCACAGCACACCAAAGCACTGGAGCTAGAGAGACCAGAACTTGGAGGGATGGTTCCATCTAGCAGACAATTCATTCCAGTTGGGTTATTGAGACCAAAATGTTCCTAACAATGAAAAAATAAACAATCTCAGTTTCAAGTACAGACAGGCTCAGGCTTGCAATTATCTGATACTTAGAAAGAGAATCCTTCTGCTGAGTTGCTGGAAGCAAGGACCTGCTTCTGGTATCTCCAAAATAAAGCAAAAGCAAAATTTTCATTCTATTCCTTAAGAACAAAGCCAATGGTCGGGCTTCAGCCAAAGGTATGTCTGCAATGGCTGTACACAAACACATAACTACCCCAAGCAGAACTCAGGATGGGCTGCACGCCCAAGAATTTACCAAGCTTCGTGGGTGGGTTTTGCAGCAACTGGCTCTGCTTTGAGCTGCTGTGGGGACAGTGCGAAGTTACCAATCCTTTTGTATCCTACTTTTGTCCTTTTCTTGACAGCTCTTCATTTAGGCACCACAAAGAGCTCAAGGTCCACTTTATGCTTCACTTCCAAGGCTGGCACGTGGTATTAGGGAGCCACATGACACTGAGGGGGAACCAGTAGCCATGCAGATGTTTTCAAAGCAGATCCTCGTGTCCTGAAGCACCCACAGGACTGACACTGGGAAAACCACAATGGTACTTAAGGGTCACAAAGACACACCTACCAGTGGGGACGGTCTCTGGCATGCTATTTTTTGAATGAAGTTTAAAATATTCTAACACACATGACAGATACCACAGATAATACATTTAATCAAGAAGTCATAAATCCTCATGTGCATACTCTTTTAAATATTCTTTAGTTGTTTTGTCTTTTTATTTATAATCACTTTTATCAAATTTCTCTCTGCTATTAGTTTGAAACAAACATGCAGTACTTATTAAAAAATCATTGACTATATATGAGGGGTATATGAATAGCTAACTTCTGATGCAATTTATACGTCAATAAACTGTTACAGTGCCAATAATCAGAAAAAATAACAGTATCCTCATCAAGAAATGTCCACCTTGAAAAGATTTCTACTACTTCTCCTGAAACAGCTTCAAACATAAATACCAATGGTAGAGATCAGCAAACACAAAGAGCCTCCTTTAAAGTCTTCTACCATCACTTCAAATTATATTTTGAATTTCCTGTTTCACAAATAAAGGAAATTCATATCTAGAATACTGTCGCTGCCCATGCCCCTTCCTGAAGAACACTAGACAGGCTTGTTCATAAACAGAAAATGCCTGAGTAACCAGAAACTGATCCACAGTTTCTGGATCGTCTTGAATGTGAATCAGGCTTGCAGACTTATCACGCAATGTTTAAATAGAAAACGTACTTCAGTTTCAAAAATGAAAATGGACTTTGCCAAGTTCTGCAACAGTTCTGTCCCAAAAGGATAGCATGTTCAACCTAATATAAACAGATTATCCCGCTGGACCCCCTGAGTACTTGTATTTCAGAGTTTCTTAAGTCTGTAGCATTTATGCTTATTTTTTGCCAGTACTAGAGTCTGCAAACCTGCTTTGCAAATCAACCTTCAAATATGAAAGCTTATCCTTAGGAAACAGATCTCAGTAGCAGACTGCAAAATAAATAAAGGCAATTGGTCATGCAAGCTTTAATATAAGAAAGGATATATTGTAAAGAAACCTAATCTATATCTCTACAGTCAGTGCAATTTAAATGCCTGTATTGCTAAGCAATGCAAAATTGAAAATACTCATGTTACTGCACACATAAGTAATTTATTTGGGTCTATGCATAGGAGCAGGGGGCGGTTTAGGACCTGTGAATTGTAATAAAGTGATTTGTGGCACTGATTGTTCTGAATATTGTTATTTTGAAGCCTCCAGTGGCAGGTCTGAGGTAGGCTTTTCAGCAGTCTGCAGTCCTCATCTATTGGATCATCCTGTGGGGTGACCTAGATGGCCTATCCTGAGGCAAACTTCATGTGCTTTAAAAAGCACATTTACCCATAATTCGGGCTGGCTGTGGTGACCTGTTCCTGACTTGCCATCACTGTTTATCCCATCTGCCGTTCCAGAAATATCATCAGATTAACATCGAGCAGAGAAGACACCTTTACTTCTCCCCTCAAAGGGCCATGAATTCTGTGAATTCTGTGCCTCACCTGCAAACAGCAGGTGAGATTTGCAGGATCCTCGATGGTGAGTTGAGGCTGCCTCCCTCGCAGCACTGATGACCAGCACTTGTTTTCACAAGAGCTGGGTCTTCAGGCCAGGCTGGAGAGGGGAGCTCCCAGGGAGCTAAACCTCGAGTGGGCAGACAGGAAAAGGTCTGGGAGGTTGAGCTCCTGCCTTTTCCGTAAGTGTGCCCCCTCCTGCACAGCTGCACTTTGAACTCACGACATTCTGAAAATCCCATTCAAATTCCAAACCCTGAAAACCGGGATGAGTAATGGTTCTTAATGGATTGTTTCTTCTGTATGCTGTTTACTTGGCTTTTGCATTTTCTTTTGCCTACTGCATGAGTCAGCTTCACTCAGCTGCTGTGCACAAATTACAGGTTTTCAACTTTAATGAAGGTCCATGTTTTTTAAATGCTTCCATAGAAAGAAAAGGGTTAAGATATGATCTTCACGTCCTGAAAAAAACAAACCTCCAAACCTTTTTCAAAGCAGATTTTAATTAAATAATTCCATTGGAAAACATTCCTTTTGACTTCAAAATACAGAAATGTCATCCTGATGATGTTTGATCACGACTTTCCGAAGCAATTATTTGCTATTGTATTTTGTTTTACAGAGATGAAAATAGTGCTCTGCCAATATTTTAAAGAAAACCCACTCATATCTCCTCTTCAAGTTTTAACATAAAAATATTTCTGTTAAAAAAAAAGCTATAGAATGCAGGGCAACATTTAGAGAGTAAATAGGTGTTCTTGTATTTTCCTTCTACATTAATTTCATAAATTAAATGGATTTGACTTACCTGAATACCCTTCAGTCCACACAGGAAGTAGTTATGCCACTGAGGTTTGGTTTTGTTAATCTGAATGTTATTAACACTAGTACTGAAATCCCTGCAAAAACAGAAAAACCTTAAGGCTTTGATTTGTATTAAATTTAGTTTGAAAAAACATGGCTTGTTACTGCCACCTGCTGATGGACAAAACTGGTTTGATGGTTTTCAGTGCAATGTTCTCTGGCTTGGTTTCTTGTTTGATCTTTTTACATATCTTCTTTATTAATCATTTCTATATGGTTATTTTAGATGAAAGCATAAGAATTCTTGAGTAAGTATAAAGAATATATTAAATAAATCCAGAAATTAAGCTGCCTTTGACATCCTTAATTAAGGCAGGATGCCTTCTATCATGTATGTGTATGCTATCATGGTTTCTTAGAAGTGGAAATTCAAATAATCATATCTGTCAAACCATGACTAGAGGCAGACAAACTTCAGGCACTCTGGTAATTCCTGCTCAGGATTTCATCTTTATTACCTTTGCTTTGAATGGCACTTCACTACAACAAGCCTAATGCTCCAGAATTATATTATGTATGTTACAAGACAAAAATATTTAGTTTAAATATTTTATCTGTTCCCTCCTGGATAATTCCTACTCCATCTTTCTTTCAAGTTAATAAAAATACTAAGCTTGGATGTTCCTAAAGAACAGCCAGGTGCTGTCAAAATGGGCATGGGTGACACACAGAGGCCTCAGAGAGGTGCAAGTTGTTTGGCAGTCTGTACCCTTGAACACCCAGGAACTTCATCTGCTTGATGTTGTGACAGCAGGTGCCCAACACAGAAACAGCAAAGGCATTGAGAACAGCAAGAAATCAAATTAAAAATATTCAAAAGTTCCAAACTAAGGTGTGCTCTACAAGGCAAGGTCTGATAAAAAATATGAACAGAGGCAGCTGAATTCCTGGAAATATTTAACAGGAATAAAACCAGTTTCAAGAAATAATACTTCAGGGGACAGTCTGCAACTCCTAAAAGGATGGAATTTTTCCTTCTTACACTGGTGCTAGTAAACTACATAGATTATTGATTTCCTGGGTTTATTTTTGTCCAAAAGGACATCACTAATTAATACTTGTAATGGATATGAGTGAAAAGATGTTTTTATCAGTAAATTATCCTGTTACCTATGGAGAAAAAGTTATACAACTATAAAGCATCCATGATATAACTGTATTCAAGCAATGTCTGAAAAGCTCACTTTATTCTGGTGCACTTAGAGGCAATTTTTGTGTCATGCAACCCCCAAAGCAACAAGCAGTGTTGCAGTGGCACCAGAATTCATCTGGTCTGTTGCTTGCCCCTCTGTAGAGAGATCTCCACTTGCACTCCCAGCCTGCAGCCCATTCCCAGCTCCGTGGCACATGACACATCTGGCACTTGGACTATCAACTTAGAATTCTCATTTTGCCAGTTATACATTCAAGTTCAACCTTAACTACAGAGCAAACCCATCAGGTTGGTGTACAGTTTAATGTGTAAGCTGCTATTTTAGTGCCACAAACAGGATTTTATCAGCAGTGCAGCAGCAAAGAATTGCACAAAGCTACAGTAAGAAATTACTAGGTTTTGCTGAGGAACACAAAAGATATGAAAGGGAGTAGAGAGTACTAGGAAAGTTTGAGAATGGCTGTAAATTCTACTAATTTGAGATTCATGTGTATTTAGAATGATCTCCAAGAAAATAAAACATCAACTTGCTTATGGTTTTTGAATAAAATAAACCCCCATGAGGTATTTGTAAAATAGAAAATACTTGTCATAAGTAATGAAGATTTTTAAATTCTGTGTTTATTTATGCTTGCTTCCTAAAATAATCCTAAATTATTGTTGTAAAAAACAAGGCTGGTGGAAAGCAATGTGTGAAAGTGATTAAGAGAAAAGGAATCTTAAGTCTTCTTTGCCTCAAAGAATTCTAAAATATTTTATCTTCATAATTCATTTTACCCTCTCAGAGAAAAATTTCAATGAACAAGAAGACACATATTATGACTATATATTTGCTGGTTCTCAAGATAAATTAAAATAATGACTTCTTAAAATGCATTTTGTTATTTTTTGCAATCTTCTTACATAGAAAATGGAAGAAAAAAAATGGCTTTGATTTTGGCAGGTTTTATAAGGACATAATTCACACAAACACAGAATGTGGGACTGTCAAAATTCCCAGAATACTTAAGTCTTTTTTTGTTATCACGTTCAGTTTTTTATTAAAAACAGTTCCTAAATATCCAAGCTTTATCTTAAATCAGTAAATCATCAGGCTTGCCTTTGAACCTCCTACTGAAAATTAGGCATTTTAATATGAGAACTTTATAACAAAATAAAATAAAATATTGGGAAAAACATACCCATGAAATAAAAATACTCTGATGTCTGTTCCAGCCTTTCTGTTTGGGGAAAAAATGCCAGTTCTCCATAACCAGACATAAAAATTTCAATTTCTCTGTATAATTAGAAGAGATAGGATTTTTAAGTAGTGTGACTGAGGTGGTTTTTACTGCTTGAAAAGTAAATAATCCTCATTTTTGGGAGATCAATTTGGCTCTTTCTTACAGAACCTTATTGTCTTTGTCAGTCTGTTAGTTTATCCGTTTGAGTCTTCTGTACAAATACCCTGATTTAAAAATAAACAAACAAAACTTTCAGGTTTTGTTGTGAGATGGAAACTGATTGGTAATTACCATCCTCTGGTACTTCTGAAGGCACTTTGAGAAGTATAATGTCAGTTATTCTCGCTACACATACTTCTCAATTACAAAGATGCTTTGTGAAGGGGAGGTATTAAGAACTTCAAAAGAATGTAAGTTTTGAATACCTTTTTAGTCCCAATAACATAAAAGGCATCAGATCAGTTGAGATAATTTATGATAAAAAACAAACAGGTGTTTTTTCTATCAACCTGTTCTCTGTTCTATTTCTACTGAAAGTTAACGTGAACTATCAGGGTGGAAGAGTGCTACAGAACTGTTCCACAGTTTACCAGTTCACAAAATAAGAATGAAATAGGAAATAGTAATTCTACAGAGGATTCTGGTTAGTCCTTGTTCACCAAAGGCCTATAGATACACATTCACCACAGGCATAAATCTACCAGTGCAACAGGCAGGGAAAAAAAGACATACTGTCATCAGTTTTGTTATGTGGTGTAACATTCAAAGTGTTGAAAAAGATTTCTTTGTTATGAAATTATGGACATGTTTTAGCTTTGTTTTTAAGCAACAGTGTCTCAACAAAACCAAGATGCTTAATGCTGTGTTCTGAGATCTTTTCTTGGTTTATGGTTTAAAGCATAAGATTTTAAACTGAAACCAGGGCAGATGTAAAAATATAGTGACAGTGTGTGTGTGTGCAATTTAAATTCAAAGGTTGTATTTCTACATTTTGTGGAACTGTCCTGAGAAGGCCATTTCAATTGCAAGATAATGCAGCAAAGCTTGAAGACCAAGTGAAAATGTTTACCTTTTTATTACTGCTTTATTTAGTGTTCATTATAACAGCTTTTCCTAATCAAAACTATTGTAATTCTGAAGCTATTGTCTCTTGCAGAATGGTTCTGCAACACAGCTTAAGCCCTGGTGGGAGGTTGCTGTTGAAGAAAGGGAAAGGTCCCACACACCTTCCATTTCCCTTCCCTGTTCACCACCACTGCTTGTTCCCACTGTTAACCCCAACTCAGCTTTAGTGCTGAGTGCAACACAGTTCACTAAAATGACAGAAAATTATCCAAGCAAAAAATGGGGGAATAGTGCACTTCAGCTTAAGATCAAACAAGTACTCTACACCTGCTAAAAGGCAGAGGCTGAGCTGATCTTAGAAGCAGGTACAGGGAGATTAGGGGTAAAAGAAGCCAAGCCATTGCCTTTTGGCAATGGCAAACATCTTAATTCAGCCCAGCTGTAATGTGAAAACATACTCCACAAAGTGAAAAATCTCTGGGTATTTATACTTAGCATGGAAGTACAAATTCTTTTCAACTGTCTTAGTCACAGGCAGCAGTTCAGAATGTGTTTATAACAAACTGAGCTTTAAGCAGGAATATGTGCTCAAGTATTTCCCACTTTTGTCAGTATGTTCCTGTCCCTGTGCTGCCGCACACTGTGCTTTCAGGAACTAATTTACCAATTAAACCAATGGCTCAATAAAAATGGCTTAAACTAAGCTTTTGCTGATTCTGATTTTTGCAAAATGTCCGCAAAAGCTCATGTGGGTGAGTGACCTGATCTGAACTGCCATGCAACTACACAAATATCAGTCTTTTACAAAGAGGCAGAAAAACGTGCCTGAACTTGAAAAGAGTGGCAGGATTATTTCCCTATGTTCAGCACTTGTGAGACCATAGTGGAATATTGCATCCAGTTTTGGGGTTTCCCAATACATGAAAGACATTGGCAGGGAGTTCAGCAAAAGGCCAACAAGATTATTTACAAGGGATCTTCAAAGGTCCTTTCCAACCTAAATTGCCCTTTAATTCTGTGAACAACAGCTGTGGAAGAAGTGGAAGCAAGGGAATACAGATTTTTTTGAGCCAGGATTGTTGCTAAAGCTGTTGTGCTGTGAAAACACAGGCCCAGGTTCTCCAGAGCAGGGGAGTGTTACCTTACTTTGGCAGTAATTGATTACAAAACATTCCACTCCCTTCTCCAGGGGACATGGAGCTGCTGCCAATTATGGGGATCATATCGAGAAAGATGAGATAAAAGAAGGAAGGACAGAATTGCAGAATTTTAGGATTGAAAAATCAGAGGCCTTACAGAGTAATATGAACAAAGAGGTGGGGGACAGCAGCTGCAAAGCAATTGCTCTGAACTAACAGACATGGCATGGAGTCAGCCTGTGGGATTCCATCTGCTGATATAAATTGTTTTACACAATCAGACTCTCTATTGCAGTGGAAGTCTGTCAGATCTCTGAAAAGGTAAACTGTATTGCAATGCATGAAGAGGTTCATAAAAAATAATGAATTTAAAAAGTCATTACGTACAAGTACGAAGAATTGGTATTTGCCAGTTGCACAACTTGAGTTTGTACAGGTTCTACTGCAATCAGGATATCTTGTTCTACAGCCATTGGGAGCACAGCATAACCACAGTAATCTATGTGTTCTCCTAGCAAAGAAACAAAGAAAATACTTTGCAATAATTCTTTCTAGAATAGCAATAACATGATTTCTACAGGGCTTCAGTGTTGTTTACTGGATGAGACAATCTCTTATTGTAGTTTCAACTCTTATTACCTGAAGTTTGGGGTACGTTTCCTCCATTTCTTATTACTTCACAAAAAGTTTTTCTTTCTTTAGTGATTTTTATCTATTGCCGGTTTATAAATGGTCATATTTTAACACTGACTTACAAAAATTCTAAAAAACCTCCACCATGCTGATTACTGCCCAAGGATGAGAACTGTCATGTGCATACAATTTCTGGACCTTTTTCCAAGAAGATAACTACTATATTTAAATAATCATTAATACAGTTGCATACAACACATAAAGTAAAAATCAAATAGAAAATGTATGTAGTAAACATCCTCTCCCTTGGGAAGAATTCCCAGTTACCATATGCTATTTAGTCTATATGAGATGTTCACATAACACTGATATAAAAATTAACATGAACTGCATAATAAACTAATTGACTTTTACAGCTCTGTTTCTCAAGATCCTTTTACTACGTCTTCAAATGTGTAGGATTATTTTATGAACGTATGCAAGAAAATCAGCTCCAGGGAGAACACAATCCTAACACAGACAGAGAAGTCTAAAAAATAAGGCTGCTACAGAAATAAAAGTAAGTCCTAAACACAAAATAATTGTGACTCTCCAGTCTGCCAGTGAATCACACCCACTATTTTAAGTTCTGTGGACACATCTCTATGGAAGAGTAAACAAAAGATGGTAGAATAATTTCATGCTTTATCATGTATATTGTTGTGGGGCTAGTTATATTTGAAAACTTTAATTAATTAAAAAAAAAAGTTGGCAAGTTACTCCAATTTTCAAAACCATCACTATTGTCTATAAATGTTTTTCTCCAAAACTGATATCTATGTAGAGTTGTTTATAATAAGATACTGTAAAATCTACCAAATTATATATGATTTTCCATTTATCACAAGAAACGTCTTTGAAAATATAAAATTAAGACCAGCATTTTCATTCTTTTTTTAAACTACTAGATTTCCATTATGACAGATGAAGTACAACAACATAAGGTTAACTTTTCTCTTTTACCTATTAAGTTGACTCGTCCTGGTGCACGAGCATAAAACTTGGGAGCTGATCCAAACTTGGATATAAACATCTCCTTCAGTTTCTGCAATCTGAAAGGTAGGTTAGAAACATTTAGAAGGACTATATTTGCATAAAAGACAGGAAGCTTCAATGCTTGTTGAAGAAAATTCAATTCAGCTTCCTGAAGTATGTGGCATTTTCTCTACTACATCAGGAGTAACATTAAACTGGTTATTTCTGCTCTTCATATAACATTGAAGACTCTACTTAGATTTTTATTTTTATCAATTTTCATATTTGGCACTACCCCATCTTTGTATAAATACATACACAGAGAACTAAAATTCCAAAAGTCAGATTATCCCCATGACTTAGGACAGTATTTACTCCCCAGGATTCCAGCAAAAGTACTTCAGGTTTTCCATTTAGAGGTGCCTGATGTGCTACTGAAAGTTCAAAGCAAATAAACTTTGTCATATTGCTTTACTTCCTGCAACTGTAAAGGTACCAACCTTCTGCGTGATGTTTGCAAAGGTGGAATACTTTAGTGTGTCATGCAGAACAGCAGGAAAACAAGGGCTGAGAACAGATGAAGCCATTTATTTTAGTGAAGCATAGGAAACTTGATAGTGATTCATTTTGAAACTACCTTAAAGCAAAATTTTAGTCTACTGACAAAAATCTAGTAACAGGAACCCTGATAAGGTTTCTACATTTAATCTAAATCTAGAACTGGAAGCCTACTTAATGCAAAGTGGAAGTAAGAAGACTGCAACGAGAAACAGATGTTAGAAAATTCCACAATTACTTAGTTTTTACATCTTTGTAAAGGCTGTGTTACTGTTCAGCTACATGCATGCAAATGTTTCCTAAGGTTTTTATAAATGCAAAGCTACAAAATGCAATTTGTTGTGATATTTTTTAACAGATCTTTTAGTACCTTTCTATCTTTGTGCCCAGTTACAAAGCTGTATTAGGTCTATGATTTCTCCTTCTTATAATCACCCCTAGTATTGACTGGTATGTCGCTCATCCACCAATTAGCAAAAGCAATTTCTGCCATTTCATTGTTCAATCCCTTCTCTAGATTGCATTAATAATATTATAGTCCACGGGGGATTCTGTTGGCAGAATTCTAGGTGTTAACTTTATTCCATTTTGTGTCAGTATTTAGAATGCTGCTTTGTTTCACAGATATTTTTATAGTAGTGTTGGTACCAAGAGACAACAAACAAAGCAGTAGTGAGGGCATGTTTATCTAAGTGCTGATTGATCTCTTTTTTTAATGTGGGTTTTACAAGCAGGCGTGATGAAAGGCTATTTACAAGCTTTGGCCTTGATGTTGCAAGACACACACTGCATTTCAAGCACCTACATCAAGAAGAAAATTGTCAGGAGCCTTAAAGCAAAGGCACTCCTCACAACTTCACACTTCCAAGTCTGGAAATGTCGGACTTGTCGTTTCCGTGGGATTTGCGGTGCAATCGTACGCAGTAACCGGCGTTTTAAGAAGTGCCCCTTGTTCAGCGCTAACGCAAGCAGGAAGGTTGGTCTGTGTGCGTGTTAATTGCACACACCGAGCGCAACTCCATGGGCGAGGAGCAGGCGCTGGCACAGGACGGGCCAGGCCAGCGCTGCTCCAGGGCCTTTTACAGTAAAAAATACGAGAGAATAATCAGCATTCCCCAAAAATCTCTAGGGGAAAATGATGTAGGCGAAATGATGAATGAATAAATGAATGAATGAATGAACGATTCCTCCTGCTGCCCCAGCGCCACCCTGCGAGGGGCGCCAGGGCGGGCCGGGACGCTGTGAGCGGGAGACGCGGCCGGAGCTCGGCGCGCCCCGGGCAGCGGCCGCTTCCCCAGCAGTCTTCGCTCGTGTCAGGGAAAAACCTACGGAGTGTAGACGCTACGTGTCCACACCTCCTCGCACCTCAGCCCGGAGCATGAGGACGGGCTTTCCCACCCATCCTCCCACCTCCCCCGGCCGCCCACAGACCGCCCACCCGCCCCGGGATAAGCGGCGGCGGGGTCGGGGAACGACCCACCCACCTGGGCTGCTCCACCAGCTGCACCGGGAGGGCGCTAGGGCTGTCCCCCGCCATGGCGGCTCCACCGCGGGCCCGGGTGAGGCGGCTCCGGCGGGGCCGCGGTCACGGGGCAGGCGAACGCCGCGTCCTTCCGGGCGGCAGCGCCGGCGGCCCGGCCCCGTCCCGCCCCGCCGGCGGTGCTCGGCCCTGGGCAGCCGCGGCCCGCTCGGCCGGGGAGCCGCTCTGCCCTCGGCCCCGTGCCCGCCGCAGCCCAGGTGGGACGGGGAAGCTGCTGCGACGTGGGAAAGAAATGTTTGGGGTTTTCCGGTATTCCTGCCGATGCTCCTGCAAAATGCACGTGCAATGAAAATAATAAATTGACAGTCGCATCCCTCATGGCGTGGAGGGGTGGGTGTCTCTGTCCCCGTGTTTTTTGTGGTGTATAGTTCCTCCAGCTCCCCTCCCAACAGGCAGCCTCGTGGCTCCTGTTACCCTCGGATTAATGGGTACAGACACTTGCAAGGAGCTGAGCATTTCAAAAGTCCTCAGCCGAGGAGCTGAGCATTTCAAAAGTGATCGTAGGCTGTTCACTCAGTGTTTTGGTGTATATCTTTGTCCATTTCGGTATCTGTCTTACTGTTCTTCATCCCATTCAGGGAGCTTTAAGTGCTCAGTCTGAAGGAAGCACAGTAACAAATCTCATTGTGGATTTTCTGAGATAAAATATTTATTTCCCCCTTAGTACAGTTGCAGAATACAAACACGGCTTTTAAAAGACTTGTCAGTAGCTATAGGGGAAAAAAAAACCAAACCAAAACCCCACTGTCAGAAACCATAACAGTATAAAATGACCAATAACAGGAAAATCTGGAGACCTAGTAAATATTGCAGATGCATCTGGGCATCTGTGAGAGGCCCAGGCCTTGTGGAGATGGGAAGGCAGAGCTGGACTGTTGGGGGGTTTGCCTCACTCAGTTGAGGGCAGAAGCAGAAATTAGCATGTAAAAATCGTTATAAAATCATTGCTAACACTATACAAGGCCTGTGGATTTAAAGAGTTCAGGCCTTTAAAACTGCTTCTCTGGTAGTATTTATTTATGGGGAATGCAGCCCAGGTTCAGCGGCACTGAGTAAAGCAGCATGGAACTGAACACTGATGCTGGTCACAGAAACAGGCCGAGCTTTCACAGAATGTGTCAGGGTGGAAGGGACCACCGTGAGTCCTCCTCAGGCAGGGTCATCCCAGAGCACATGCACCAGGATTGTGTTCAGATGGTTCTGGAACATCTGCAGTCAGGGAGCCTCCACAACCTCTCTGGGCAATCTGTTCCAGTACATGGTCACTTGCACAGTAAAGTTCTTCCTCATGCTCAGGTTGGCCTTTCTGGGCATCAGTTTCCACCCATTGTTCCTTGTTCTACTGGATGGCACCACAAAGAACAGCCCAGTTCCCTCCTCTTGACACCCACATTTTACACAGGAGCCCCTCTCAGTTGCCTCTTCTTGAGGCTGAACAGGCCCAGCTCCCTTAGCCTTTCCTCATGACAGGTATGTCCAGACTCTTGGCCAACTTACTAGCTCTCTGCTGGACCTACTCTAGGAGTTCCACATCTCTTTTCTACTGTAAAAGTCATAACTAGACACAGTACTCCAAATGCGGCCTCATCGGGGCTGAGCAGAGGGGCAGGATCACTTCCCGCGACCTTCCCAGAGAAGTGCCAGTCACCAGACTCGCAGCCTCCGTGGGGGATCCGGGCTGGCAGCGCCCACGCCGGACCCACGGCAGCGGCCCCGGCGCCAGCACGGCGCACTCCGGGCGGCGGCAGCGCCCGGCCCCGGAGGTTCCGGCGCGCAGTGCCCAGGCCCCGCCCGGCCGCCGTTGCCAAGGGCCGGTCGCTACCAGAGGGAGGGAGCCGGCGACGAGGCGACGCGGATTGGGCTCCGAGCGCCCCGGGCCGGGGGCGGGAGAGGCGCGGGCGGCAGCGGGTTCCGGGCGGAGCGGAGCCACATTGGGCAGCGCCGCGCGGGCTTGTGGGAGAAGGGGCCGTCCCCGCCGCCGCCCCCCGCCCGTCCTCCGGCCAAGATGTCTGACATGGAGGATGATTTCATGTGCGATGATGAGGAGGACTACGATCTGGTAGGGCGCGGGGCGGCGCGGGGGCTCAGCGGTACAGCCGGGGGTGCCGCCGGCGCTGCGGGCCGCTGCTGGTGTGGCGCACCCGCCGCAGCGGCCGCCCCACCGGGTGCTGCCCCGGCAGGGAGCACGGACGTCCAGGATGAGTTTCCCTCCCGGGGAGGAGGATGCGGGCAGGGGCTGCGAGGGGCGGGTGCTGCTGTCGGAGCAGCCGCTCGGCCGCCTCTCCGCGGAGGAGCAGGCCAGCTCCGGGCGGGCAGGTGGATAGGCCCGGGCTGGTGCCCCGGCGCCGGGCTGGCCCCTGTGTGCCCCGCAGGGCTCACGCTGAGGGAGGGCTCCGCCGCGCTGCCTCCCCCCCGCTCCTGCCCCGGCACAAGTGTCGGGCACGAAGCGAAGCGATAAAGTTGCCCGCCTTTCTCCGCACCCGCGACTGCGAGAGGCCCTTGGGGGCAGATACCGTTCGTGTGCTTGTGTGAGCAACAAACTGAGGCAAAAGTAGGGGGAAGAGAAAGGGGAGTGAGGAGAAATGGCCTCACGGCCGGTTTCTGATCCAACGCGCCGAAGGGTGCACTTGTTTCTAACTTTTTGTCTTTATAGTCTTTGTAACCTTTCTACCGCTTCCTTTTTGTTTTTAATTGTAAGGTTTGGGGGTTTTCATGTTACATTTAGTTAAAAGTTAACATCAAGTTTTGTTCTAAGCTTTTAAAGTTAAAAAATTGCTGCTTGTCTGATTAATTATAATTATATTGCCCATACATTATTGGAGCTTGAGGTTTGCTTGTTTAGTTTTTGTTTTGGTTTTTTTTGGTGGGGGTTTTTTTTGTTGTTGTTGTTTGTTTGTTTTTGTTTTCTGAACTTTGATTGGGTTTTTAGAACTAGACACTTTTTTTTTTTTTTTTTAAAGCTATGTATGGTAGACGCTTGAGAGTCTATTTAATTCATTTCAGCTAAACCTGTGTTAGCAGTATTGCAGTTTCACTGAAAAACTCCAGACACTTGCTTCTGGAAGACTTGCTTTCTGTCACATTATTTGATAGTCAGTGCCACTTAGGAATTAACTTAAAATGTTTACCTAATTTTATTTGGAATAGTTTCTGGGCAGTTTTTGTTTGGAACTGCTTAGAATGGTTGGATGACATTAGATACAGAATAAAAGCATCTGCTTTTGGTTTTGAGGGTTTTTTCCATTCATTAAGGAGTGCTTGTTTGACAGGCATCGTCATCAAAACCTTATGAGTTGCTTGTGTCACTATTCCAAAAACTGTTTGTGTTCCCCTTTCAGTCTGTGAATGAATTCCCATACTGTAGAGACAGGGGGTTACTGAAGGAAATACACAGAAACCATTAAAAACATTTTGTTCCAAAATTGATTTCCATTCATTTTTATTAACACTGAAATTTGTGTCCTGGTTTAAAATTCTTTGTTGTTTTTTTTTTCCATGTGATACAATCAGGAATATTAAAGACAGCAGAATTCATGTTCCATATCATTCCATAACATGAGAACTGGGCATGTAGAGAAACCACTGGAATTGCATTTTTCAAGCTATACAGATAAGAATAAAAGTGCAGTTCAAACTTGCACTGCTTTATGTCAGTTTTCTCCAAGAATAATTGGTCTAGTGCTTTTTCCTGTGTTTGTTTCTTCTGAAGTACTTTATTTCTCATTGGAAAAACCTTCCTGAAACACCTTGCTTGTGGCACATTTCCACTTCTGACTGGAGTTACTTTTACTGGAACATTTTCATTCTCATTAATTACCCCTAGCTCAGACCTTTCAAAAATTTTAAAATACTGATTGTAATAATTAGGAGCACATTAGTTTTTTTCTTTTCAGTGTGTAACACCCACGTAAAGCATCAATGAGTACCCAAGCTTCAGATTTTTAAAATTTAATTTCAGCTCATAATTGATGGGGAAAAAACCCAAAAATTGAAGTGTAAAAATGTTTCAGCACTCTGGGACTAACAAACCATGATTGGCTGTTGTTTTCAAAAATGCTTGAGACTGTAATGGTAGTGTTCCACAGAACTGTTTCAGAAAAAAAAATTTAAGGGCCCTGAAGACAGGGCCTGATTTCTTCCTTTCATGTTGATAGCTCGTGAAATTAAGAGAAGACTGTGAGGGGATGCGTGATTCTCAAGTTGAACGTCACGGCTGCTGCAAGAGGCTTTGCAACAAAAGAATGAGTGCAAGACATAATACTCATATCAGTGCAGAATTGAAAGTAAAAGAGCACATGTGAGTGCTGTGAATACTCTTTTCAAGAACCAGAGGAAAGGCAGTGATTATAGAAACAGTCAATGAAAGAAGCAGCTATTTTGTCAAAATATGGTGAAACTAGGTTCAGGTCTCCCAGGATAGCTGCAATCATAACAACAGCAGTAAAGACTCCCCAAAAAATTAATTTTGTCAGCTTTTATTAGACATGATAATGGCTGTTCCTCTTTAATGTGCACTTGACCTGCTGATTATGTAGAGCCAGTCAGTTAAATTTCCTTAACTATGCAAATGTTTCACACTTGAACTGAAATGTGAACAGATATTCCAAAGTCTCAGCTCTTTCCCAGCTTCATCACGGAATTTTATATAATTAGAGTAATTACTACATGTTAAACAATTGAAGACTACCCAGGTTGTAGTGGATTGTTTCTGTTTAGTTTTTCAGTAGGTAAAAAGTCAAAGTTTTACATCTAAATGACCTCAACCACTCCTACAGAAATGGAGTTTATTCACTGGCGTCTTGGTATAAGGAAGAAATTCCATTTATATTTGTGGGTGGATGAATCTAGATTCACAATTTGCTAGTAATGTGCTGTGACAGCTTTGATTATAACGTGAATTATTCCACTTTATGCTTCAATGAACAGAATAATGTTTACTGGTCATTATGAAAGCCACTCAATTTTAATTTCTAGTTTGGTGCTGCTAGGTGCCTCACATGATATCAGTACAAGTTATTTTTACTAGATCCAGCTTGAGGGTGGAGAAGGACGAAGAGGGAAGGAC